ATTTGGGTTGAACTGTTCTGGAACAGTGTTGTAAATACAACTTAACCACTGATTTCTAGCTGTGTCCTCTTTTGGAAGGCCAAACAAAGTATTTTCGCTTTCGCAACGAAACACACAGCATCTCCACGATATGGCAGCAGCGGCAACAATACTACAGCAAGAATAAAAAGTTATGCCTTAGCATAACATTTGGGCGGTGTTATGCAAATCTTCCCACACAGTGACGTAGACGTGGGACGAACAGCTTGTAACACTCCAAAGAGAAAGGAAAACTTGAAATCGCATCATATTACCCCTTTAAAGATTATATTGCTTTAACTGGCCATTTTAGCTCCAAACAACTATATATGCCCAATTTAAATTAATGCACTCAATTACAGATAATATACAGATATGTTTGATACTAGTGTTGTCAAAAGTACCGACTGTGATACCATTTGCATTTTCAGAACGATTTTTTACAGCTGATGAACGATACAAACATTGACAGCCAATCAGAATCCATCCTGTATGTATATATGTGTGCCTGTGTCTTTCTGTTTGCGCACAGCTTTCCCTGTCAAACAAATAAAAAAGCAAAATATCAGGTCAGAAAATGTTGAGACTCTGTCGAGTTCTGATGGCTTTCTCCCCTCCGCATCTCCACGCAGCACAGCAGTGTAGCACACGTTGATCCAGCGTTGCCAAGTCCGCTATTTTACACTATTGCCGCGGGTTGTTTTTTTATGTCCGCGGGTTGAAGCGACCCCAGTCACGTGATATTTAGCCCCTGCAATGCCACTTTTTCCAGGGGAACCTTGCCAAAAAACGTGTAGTTTACACCCCGGAACACGATTTTTACCGGGGGACCCCTTTCGAAAAATGCAATCGGGCTAGTTTTGAGAAGCAATTGGGTGGGTTTTGTTGTGAAAACCTGGCAAACCTGCATTGATCGGCACATGCACTTCACAGACAGGCAGTGAGCTGCAGAAGTGAAGCCCTCACTCCCTTTCCAGTTGTGTTTGTCTTGGTGTGGAGCTGAGTGGTGATGAACAAAAGACTACAACTACCTGTGCCTCGAATTTACAGCTAATTATACAAAAGGCAAATATAGTTAATTTGTCTTGCTAACATCCATGACTCATGAGCTACCATGTAATAAGTTAGCTAAAGTTTAGGCTAGCTAAGGCAATAGCATACAGGCCAACTTAAAGGGTTAGTTCACCCAAAAATGAAAATTAGCCTGTGTTTTACTCACCCTCAAAG